ACATCACTTATTTTATTAATTTCTTTCTGCCACAAGACAGTGACAGGAACCCCCCCCCCCCCCAGGACAGGATTTTAGTGTTTCAGTAGCTGCTCCTTATTAGTAGTCACAGGTGGCAGTCGATCATATTTTGTCGGGCTGGGATGTATAGCTCAGTGGCAGAGCCCTTGACCACCACGCACTGAGCTCCATGCTGCAATGAATGAACAAATAAGCAAAAATTAAAATGAAATGAAACACGGATATTTTGGTTTCGGCTGAATGTCTGCACGAAGGGACGGAGCTCCACACAGCCTGCTTGTGCTCAGCGGCAGTGCGAGGCCCGGATCTGGGCAGCGCGCGCCTCCCGGGGTGGGGGTGGGGGTCCAGGCCCAGGCCCCGCGGGGATCGCGGCTTCCTTCCTGCTCCCCGGGGGAGCCCGCCGGAACCTCCAGGGAGCAGCAGGAATCTCTGCAATCCAGGCCCGGCCGGCCGGTAATGGGCACCTTGGCGGCCGCGGCGGAAGCGCCCGGCCCTAAATCACGGCCGCCCCTCCCCCCGCGGCCCGGGCGGCGGCGCTCGCGGCGGGGGCGGGGGCGGTGCAGGAGCCGCGGGAGCGCGCGCCCCGCGGCCGCTTTGGAGCCGCACTGCGCGTGCGCGGGGGGGGGGGGCGCGGGCCGCGATCCGGAGCCGCTTCCTGCGCCCGGCGGGCGCACGGGGGCGCCCGTGTCCGGAGAGGTGGCCTCGGGTCTCAACCTCGAACTTCCCATCCTTCTGAGTTGCTAGGATGACGTATTTCTTCTCCCCCTCCTCCTCCTTCTTTTTCTTCTTTTGACATAATTATTCTCAAATGCTTTTCTGTTACTGGTTTGTTCCCTTTAAGCCCCATAGTTGGCCACTGCGCTGGATTTCCCCACCATGCAATGAGGATTTTCTAATCCTCTAGAAGAAAAGTGTGCAGTCAAGTTTATCGTTAAATAAATTACAATATGCTGCTGGGTTATGTATTTGACCCTGAACAATGTTTTTTGTGCGAGTTGAAGCTTACTACACCTGACTCTGGACGACTATATATAGGTATGGCGGGGGTGAATTTGTTTCTGAGCCTTCAAACTGCTTTGCCATGGGGACAGTTTTCAATCCAGTAGCTCTACGGTGCAGCATGAGAATTTATCGTTTCTAAGGTCAAATCCCAGCACATTAAAAAAGGAAGAAAGTTTCTACTTGATGCGGCTTGTCATTAAGACTAGGCTTTGAGAGCCACGCGGCTGGGGTGGGTAGGGAACATCTCTGTTTGGTTGCAGGTTTATTTCTACTTTCATTTTTTGCTTTTTGAGCCAGAGTCTCCCTGTGTGGTTCCGGCTAGTCTTGAACTTACAAGTAGCCCAGGCTGGCCTCAAACTTGCATCAATTCTCCTGTTTTCAGCCTCCAAAGTGGTGGGATTACAGGTGTGCACCACCACACCCAGCTCATCTATTTCATTACTGAGCCTTATAGACTGACTCTGAGTTTGTACATTTGTTTGGGGTTGTCTGGGCTCACAGTACTAGTATTTAGTAGGTGCTCAGTAGCTGTTTACTGGCTCTGAACAGAGCGCTTGCTGCATCAGACTCATGTGGAGTTTCCGGTGGTGTGATTACCTTTCAGCAGGAACAGTACCATTTATCCAGCGTTCAGCGAACACTGCCTCACATCTGCCGTGCGGCTAGCAGGCAGGGTTTCTGCTCTCTGGGAATCTGGAGGTGGTCTTGAGGTGGATGCAGATTAAGCATGGAAGTACACTATTATCTACTAAACTCTAAGACACAGTTAAAGGGATCCCTGTGGGGAGTGGGAGGCCCAGGAATGGCTGGTGACCCCCTTAAGTCACCTGCACTCTATCCAGAAGAGCTCCAGAGCCTTCTCTGCAGATACAGCCAGGGAACTGCAAGCTGATCCTGAGTCTCCCTGGGCAGCTTCTGGCTCTCTGGGCTCCAGCTCACCTGCAAATGGGGTCGGGGGAAGATGTAACCTGTCACTTTGGTGCTCTGCCTGGGATCCCAGTGGCCATCAGTCCTACGAGGGCTGCTCAGAGTCAGTCAAGCAAACCCAGGCAAAACAGATCAGCCCCAGCAGGAGCCGGGAGCGCAGCTGGGCCTTCCGCCTTCCGGTCCCCACTCCTCCTTGCTCGTCTCTTGCCGTTTGCTGCCCCAGATTTTTAGCTAAACCTTTTTTGTTTTTCATACTTGCTTGAAAATGTTGGAATACTTGATAGGTTTTATTTCAGAGGATGGATGCCAGGACAATCATTAGCTATAGGTGGTCGGAGCAGGAGGGAATGGGGATGCACACAGGTGTTGGGGTTCTGTGTCCCTGAGCTGAGAATGCAGGCTTAGCCCGGAGGGGTTATGAACTTGGTCTTGGAATGGATGCAACGCTGCAGCTTGGCCCTCTGACTTGAGGCAATTGTCACTGCGTCTCAGTTTTCATTCTGTATAATGGATATTATAATAATGGACCTTTCTGTGTGGTACTGTTGTGAGGCTAAGTTAATGTATGTTTAAAAGCACTTAGTGCAATGCCATAAGCACTCAGTGGAAGCCAGTACCAGTGCAATTATGATTGGTTTTCTTCTTCAATAGTACACATTTACAGTACATAATGATTATACTCGTGGCTGGGAGCTGGTATATCTACATATAATTCTTTTTTATCCTCTTCCCCTCCCTTTATTCCTCCCAGATTATTATTATTGTTATAATTAATCATTATTAAGCATCATCCTGTCCATAATGGGCTATAAGTTCTAGGATGCTGAGTCACTGGGGGAAAGAAGGTTCTAGATGCAGTTGAGTCTGTCAACCACCCACTGACTCCTTCCCCAGGCAGGTTCTCCTCTCGGCTGCCCTGGCAACCAGTGGGGAAGGAAGGGTTCTTTGGACAGGTCACCTCCATCTTTCCGTAAAGATGGCGGGTGCTTGTGGCTCGCCCACATACTTCTTGATCAGAGGGCACGGTCCAGGTGAGTTTGGGTCAGAGTGGAGTTCATCACATACACTCACAGTGAGCTTCCTGGGCATGGGACCTGTGTGGTAGGTGAAAAGTATCTTGCATTTGGTTTAACGCTATACCATTATCTTCTTCAAATTTTTGATACTTTGAAACAAAGACCTTCATACTTTTTGCCTTGGGCCCAGTAAATTATATAGCTGATCCTGCCTACGCTCATGTGAAGACATCTTCCATGCATAGAGAACTGAGGTGCAGAGACAGGGACATGACTGACACGAGGACACATGGGGAGGAGCCATGGCTGGAGAGATAAGAAGAAGAGGTCCTCTGCCCCTCTTCCCATACCTCCTTTCCCCCATCCCTTCTGGCCCTGGAAGATCTGCCCCTTTCTGGGTTCAGGAGCCAGGTTTTTCTGAGAGACTGGGTGAAGCCCTGCGTCCCAGCATCTGTCTGGATGAAGAGTTCTCTTTAGATGATTCAGTGTTCTCTCAGGTAGCTTCGAGGGGCTAAAGGACATGGGTGGAGGTGGGAACAGAGGAAGGTGTGAACTGTGATACTCAGTATAGGCTTTGGCTTATACTGAGACCCAGTGAGACCGACACCTTTGTGCGCTGGATGGGTAGGTGTGAGGGCCTAAATACCTGTGGCCCACAAACTGTGTAGAATCCTGTGTGAAGCAAGTGGGTGCAGAGATCGTGTGTGAGTGTGTGTTGTGGGTGAGTGAGTGTGTGGGAAGCCAGTTGTGTACAGAAAACAAACATCTGGTTGTAGCTACAGTTTAATTTCACTTATGCTTCCTGGGCCTAGTGTTGTAGGCCAGTATCCCAGCATTCAAGAGCCTGAAGCAGGAGGATCACCAAGAGTTTGAGGCCAGCCTGGACTACATGGAGGTTCTGCCTCAAAAACAAACAAACAAACCAACAAACAACAAACACCATGTATATTGCAGATGGGGAGTGACAGGCCCTGGAAAATATGAAGTCCTTAAAATGCTTTTAGACTAATGAACAAGACAATCACAAATAAATACATACAGTTCACTTCCTAGAGTCCTGCTCTTTACCTCTGTGGAGAAAGTCACGATTTGAAATAATGGGGTTACTGGTAAAACCCCTTTGGCAAGATGGATGTGAGCTGAATACCCATCCTGGCTGATGCCACATCGGGCATTGGCATCTGGGTTGTGGCTGGAAATCAGATTAATTTTGGTGCTCCACACAACTCACCTGCAAATGCCTGAAATTCCACTGGGGTCTTGCTCTACGACTAAGCATGATTATTATTATTTTCTGAGACCCTGTTTAAAATTCAAATCCCTCCTTGCAAGCAGGTGGTCGTGAGTTCGATCCCCGGTACTGATAAAAAAAAAATTCAAACCCCTGTGATAGTGTGGGAATTGTGCACTGTTTGATGAATTAGTAATAGGACGAGTGCTATGCATAAGATGGGGCTGCCCAAGGGCCCTGGATTCCAGAGGACGCCCCACATGGATATTACAAGCAGAGCCCCGCCCTCTGCTGCTCAATCCAGCTTTGCAGAATGGGGAGCCAAAGGGAGATCACTAGAGAGCTGGGCCAGATCAAAATCCAGTCCCGAAACCCAGCCAGCCTCCAGCTGGTCGATGATAAACTGGAAGCTCCGCTCAGCTACCTGCAGGGCTTCACAGGGCCTGCGGTGTCCATCTACCGCTCCCTTATCGATCCTTCTGGATGGTCATCCCTCAGTGACAGCTCTGTGGTAGCCCACAAGACTTGCCCAGAACTTTCAAGTTTCTTAAAACACATTCAACCCACCAAGGCCATCCTCCCCTGAGCCTATCAGCTCTCCTACCCAGAGGCCACACTAAGCATTCTGTGGTCAGGAGAAGCATGTGGAATTCAGCCACCCCAGAGAGGCCTCTGGAGCAGGGCAAAGCAAGTTTCCAGTGGAGATGGGAGTACCGCTCCGGGCGTGGCCAGACTGCCCAGCTGGTCCTGTATACAAGAATCTGCATGCTTGCTTGCTTGCTTCCTTCCTCCCTCGCCAAGCTACCTGGGGGCAGGTAATAAAGCAGGAGGGAGATGGATAGATGGGAGGGCGGGGAGCCACGTGGTGCCATAAAGCCGTGCAGGGAGTGTCCAGCCCCAGGAGCAAACCGTCAGGGTGGACCCACAGCCAAAGCGCCGGGGTCCAGGGGTAGGCCATGTTTCGTGGAGCACCAGGGCTAGGTCTCCGAGGCCTCAAGGGTGTTGAAGGCACTGTGGAGGACTTGGGGGGCTCCTGCCCGGAGGCTGCGAGGAATTTGGGGGTGCTGAAGGAGAACGGCGCCCCCCGCGGGTTGGGCGAGGCAGAGGAGACGGCGAGCAGAAAGCGCGCCCGGCCGGTGCGCTCCAAGGCCCGGCGCATGGCCGCCAACGTGCGGGAGCGCAAGCGCATCCTGGACTACAACGAGGCTTTCAACGCGCTACGCCGGGCGCTGCGGCACGACCTGGGCGGCAAGAGGCTCTCCAAGATCGCCACGCTGCGCAGGGCCATCCACCGCATCACGGCGCTCTCGCTCGTCCTGCGCGCCAGCCCAGCCCCTCGGTGGCCGTGCGGCCACCTGGAGTGTCACAGCCAGGCGGCGCGCAGCGCGGGCGCGCGGGACGGCGACTCCAGCCCTCCGCGCCCCCCGCCGCCGTCCGCAGGGCCCAGCCTCGCGCCCCCGGACTCCGCCGGCTCCTTCGTGCCTCCCGCGCTGCGCTGCGCCCAGTGCTCTGCGCACACGCATCCGGCGCGGCCCCGGGCGGTGGCCGAGGCACAAGGCTTGGCCCAGGCCTCCGGGGGAAGCTGGCGCCGCTGTTCCGGGGCGCTCGCAACCGGCCCACTTCCCTGGCCGCGGGGCTATCTTCGAACCAGCCCTGGGCTGGGCTGCCAGCACTCCTGACCCAGCCATCAAGCACAGGCAGACCTTGCCGGAGGATCACCAAGCGGAAGGCTGCAGAAAGCCTCTTGGAAAGAACAAAACGGAATGGGCTGCGACCTAGGGAGAGAGGAGGCTGCCGTGGCAGCGGGAAGGGACTCTGGGACTGCAGCCACTCGCCACATCCCCTATGGGTTGACACCTCTGAGAAATGAGCAGGTTCTTGCCTGATTTTAAGTTTGGATTTGTTGGACTCTTTCTGGAAAGTGGCCTTTCTATTCCAGTGCCTCTGGGCTCTGTTTTCTGTAGCTGCTTTTGGGGGCTTGTGTGGGAGTAGAGGTGGGCACCGGCTATGTACAGCCTGATGGCAGTGTGGGCGCCACCATGCTTTGCCCACGCTGCTGTCCCAGATCTCATCTGGAAGCAGCAGGCAGAAGGAGCCAAATAAAAAGGAAAATCGTCATCTCTGTCTGTTACCGTAACTTTGCTGGGCTCGGTGGCCCAGGGTGATGGGAAAGCCTAAGGGCTAGGGTTTACCCTGAAAAGTAGGGCCAGGCCCTAGAACCCACAGGTGCTGGGTCACTGGTACATGGTAAGACCTCAGGGGTAGCTGAGCATAGAGAAGAGCTCAAGGGCTCCAGAGGCCACATCCCTCTCTGTGCCCCCTGGAGTGGGAAAAGGCATTGTCTGCAGATGGCTAAGGACAAGGCTGGCTTCCTTGGTGGACCTCACATGAAGCTGCTCCTGCAGTGAGCCACAGCAGAGGCTGCTGTGAAAGGAGAGTTTGGTCAGGGAAGAAGCTGAGGACAGAGCCAGACACTGAGGGTCAGGAAACCCTGTTTCACCTCAGTGACAGGAGAGCCAGGGCCGCTGTGATGAGAGTTAGAATCCCAGAAAGACTGTGGGGAGGGCTTGAAGGAGGAAGGTCCTCAGCCTAAGCTAGGTGGGAGTGGGAGGCTCAGGACAGCCCCTTCCTGAGGATGCTGGAGAACCAGGAGAACCCAGCTGCATGGAGGCAGCCTGAGTCCGGCCTAGCTCAGGCCGACAGTGCAGATGCTACATGTTGCCTTGAGGACCTGAACTGTTGCGGAAGGCTGAGGGCTCTTCGGCCTTTGGAGAGCTGGGCTGATGCCAACTGAGCAGAGGGTTACCTATTGCCAGCTCAGAAAGGGGGACACCACAGAAGCTCTGTGGGGGTTCCCCACTAAGATGCCCATAGGCACAGACCCAGCTGAGAGTGAGGTTTGAGGTTTTTTTTTAAAGAGTAAAGAATTAAAGATGTCTTTGCTGGCTGCAAGCCCTGACACTTCTGGCACAGCTGGTGTCTCACCCCAGTCCCAGGACTTAGGGTTCCCGATGTCACAGTCGAGGTTGTGGTACAGACCACAGGGAGGCTTTGTGCCTAAGTCTAGCTGAACACGGGACCCTGCCACAGTGGCCAGTAGAAAGGGATCCAGCCCCTCCCTGCTGCTTCCTCAGCCTGTACTTCCTCATTTCTGAGCTGGATGGGGAGGGCTACGACATCAACACGGTCCCTAACTTCCTGTTTCTAACAATAACAGCACGTTCCCAAGTTATCACTGCGTATTTGTTTCCTGTTATAGTCTTGTGATAGACCAGCCTGGACAGTGCTTCAGCTGTTGGTTTGTGACAAGGTCTTGTTATGTCCAGGCTGGCCTTGAACTCACTCCATGGCCCACAGTCCAAGCTGGCCTTGGACTTTAGGCAGCTCTCCTGATTCAGCCTCCTGAGCACATGTGCCACCACGCCTGCCTTTAATCTTATTTTCATCTCAGAAACTTATTTCTGGAAACATGATAGAATGATAAGCATCCTTTTTGCCCAAATCCCAGCACTAAAAGATTCTCTTCTCCCTCAGCCACACTTCCAGCCTTAGCAAGCGGTGCCCTCTGCAGGTGAGGAAAGGTTGTGGGGCAGATGGCTTGGTTCCTGGAAGAAATGTGACTCCTTCTTAATTTATTGATCTTGGGCACATGAGCTTTGAACCTTGTTGTTCTCATATGTATAATGGGCTGAGAGGTACTTATATCATAGGAAATTGTGCAGACCGTAACATAATGCTTTTTTGTTTTGGTGCTGGGGATCGAATTCAACCTAGCACTTGCTAGGCAGGCGCTTATGCCACTGAGCTAAATCCCCGGCCCTTTTTTTGGTTTTTGAGACAGAGTCTTTCTATGTAGTTCACGCTGGCTATGAATTCACTCTGTAGCCCAGACTGGCCTTGAACTCAAGACAGTCCTCCTGCCTCAGCCTCCTGAATGTTGGGATTATAGATGTGCCCACCATGCCAGGTTGAAAATAATGCATTTAAAGCACTTAGCATAGAGCTCAGCCCAGGTAAACATTCACTGAGTGCAAGCTGTTGAGATGCGCTCTGCTCCCAAGGTTGTAGAGGGGTTCTCTCAGGAACAGGAAGCTGTTTATGGGCTATGGTGTCTACACTACCGTTCTTTCCATCGTTTTGTCAGTGCTGAATGTTTGAGGGTTCACATTCACATATCTGCACACTGATATGCATTTGCCCAGTACCCTTAGGTTTGGGGCATATATACATTACGTGTGTAGATGTGTAGACATTTGTGTGGATATACATACAAGGATCAGTGTATATCAGACCTTCCCCACATTTGCGTCCCTCCCCTCTCTCAGCCCTGATTCCTTAGGGTGCACAGGATGTGAGTGGGCAGAGATAGATGAGTGATGGTGTGGACACGCCCTGGGCAGTTAGTGCTTTCCTCCTCCTCTGGCTTCTCCAGCCTGGCTTAATGCGGGCCAGACCCTGGGCTGGGGAGCTGCGAGGTGGTACACCTGCCACTTTCAGGAGCTCCCCACTCAATAGGGAAGAGGGAACGAGGCCTGTGTCCACACCAGAGAGTGGCGAGCCCAGCCAGCTGTGGAGTCTGCAGGCGGGCAGGCCGGTGGACACGGAGTTGGGTGAGGAGTTCAGTGCCCTTCTTCATGTTGAAAATCCCAAACCTACTTCTGCTGTGGAATGATTTTGTATGTGTGTCTGGTGCTGGGGAGGAAGACCAGGGTCTCAGGCATGCAGGGCAAGGGCTGGAGCACCAAACTGCGTGCCCAATCCCTTTGGAATGAACTTTAAAAGAAGTCAGTACTGTGAGGCTAAAGTCACTTTGTATCGATCGAGTCCCTGGGTCTCCATGTGTGACCCAGAAGGGAACCCGCTTGGGACAGCTGAGCTCCTGCACAGCGGGTTGGCCGAGACGTCTGGGCTCAGACGGGTTGCTGCTGCCGCTTTTCCTCTCCGGCCCACTCCACCTCTGCTGCCCCGCCCCACCTCTGGCCATTCCCATCGGTCCACTAGATGGCGCTGACAACCCAGCATCTTACACTGGCCGAGCCAACGGTCCCCAGGGGCCCAACCCCAGCCCATCCAGACAGCCATACTGCCACAGGTCACTCTGCAGATGTCTTGGCTTTTTCTTTTCTCTTTTTATCAAGTCAAAAAGATGTTCTGATGTCTGTTTCACTGTCTTCTAGGGTAGTGCTGTCTAATTAAAACATAATATGAGCACGTGTTTAGTTTGAAAATTTCTACCAGCCGTATTACAAAAAGTATCAAGAAACTGCCAAAATTAATTTTTATAACATTTTATTTAGCTCAACGTGTCCAAATAGCTTTTCACCATGAATTTGATGGAAAAAGTATGAATGAGATACTTTACATTCCCCCCCCCCCTTTGGGTACCACATCTTAAAAAACTTGTGTGTGGCCAGGTGTGGTGGCACATGCCTGAAATCCCAGCACTCAGGAAGCTGAAGCAGGAGGATCACTGCAAGTTTGAGACCAGCTTGGGCTACACAGGCCAGCCTGAACTGCATAGCAAGACCCTGTCTCAAAAAAAAAAAAAAAAAAAAAAAAACCCGAACAAATAAACAAACAGAACCTGTGTGTGTTTTACACGTACGACATGTCCCAATTTGGACCGGCCAGATTTCATTTGCTCAGTAGCCATGTAAGGCTCAAGGCTACCGACCCAGGCTGGGCAGCCACGGGCCCTGCAGAGAGTCTGCGTCCATGCACCAGGATGATGGCCAAGAGCTGGCGGTCTCTAGGACACAGCTTACCACCCTTGGAAGGATCTTTCCTACTGAAAGACCCCAGCGTGTTTCTGGAAATTCCTGGGCAGGGAACCCGGGTCTCTCCTGGCTGTGTTCCTGGTTTAGGCTGAGTAAGTTCTCCCTGAGGTGTGAGAGGAAGAGGAGGCTCCCTGCAGGAAGCTTTCATTTTGCAGATAACAACAGATTTTTCCTTATTGAGGAAAAATTTTAGTTTAATACAGTTGACTTTACCAAACCTGACAATTTATGCTAAATGCCTTCCTCTTGGGCCAGTTCTTTCTCTAGGTTTCATACTTCTTCCCTGCCTGGCCTGACCGTCACCTGAGCAGACTGCCTGCTTTTTCCCTTTTTCTCTTTCTCTACCTCCCTGTCTTTCTTTCTTTCCTTCGTTTCTCTCTCTCCTCTGGTGATACTGGGGCTTGCACATGCTAGGAAAGTGCTCTGCCTCTGAGCTATATCCTTAGCCCTGGAAGCAGCATTTCTGAAGCCAGTTGGATACGCAGCCCACTGCTTCTTCCCTCTGACACAGCTGACTTTATTCCTCCTTAGCCCCACTGCTGATTCCTGCCGGGGATGTGGTTGGCGATGATGCCTCTTTTCCCTGCTGAGCCTGTTCTTAAACTCTAGAAGTGACAGATTTGAACTCCACAACCTCTGAGGCTCTTCCAGCTTCAGTTTCCCACATCATACCTGATCCTAGAATTTTGTTTTGTATTTTTCTTTTTATTTTTTGACACAGGGTCTCACTATGTAATTCTGGCTAGCTTTGAACTCATTATGTATGTAGCCCAGGCTGGGCATGAATTTGCAGTGATCCTCCTGCCTCAGCCTCCTGAGTGCTGGAATTCCAGGTGTGCACCACCACGCCTGGTTAACCCTAGGATTTTAAATTATTTTATAAGTCTTTTGTTTGTTTGTTTGTTTTTGATTTGGTACCAGGGATCGAACTCATGACTTTGTGCTTGCCAGGCATTGAGCTAAATCCCTGGCCAGCTTTGATAATTCCTTAATCCCCACCATATACCAGGCATCTGGCGGCTCCAGGTCACTCTCGTAAAACAAGATGAGAAAGGTCAGCGATACAGAGAAAGAGAGAGATTCAGAGCAGGCAGTGAGACCCTAGGTTCCCTTGGAGCTGGCCTCTGCCCTAGCAGCTGCTGAACAAGAGGTCTCTGCTGCTGTTCCTCCGAAAGGCCCCAGTGGGCATAAAATGGGCAGCCCTTTCCCAGTTGGTCCTCTCCCTTGCCCTTGGACACCCAGCCAGGGGGCCAGGCTGGATCCCCCAGGGCCACACTGGTGCTCCTCCCTCTCCCCCCTTTGGCCTGGGCCGTCTCTGGGGCTAATGCTTGGGGTCTGGGTGGGATGTGATAGGCCCAGGGCACAGGGTTTTCCAACAGAGAAGAGGAAGCATGAGCTTGCTCAGTAGGAGAGAAGCAGAGGACGCAGTTCCCAAGATGATGGAAGACACATGCCTTTGTGACCAGCTGGGGTTTTCCCCAACCAGAGCCCTGGCCCAGAGGAGCAGGTCCCAGGGCTGCCATGGTAATCGGAGGCTGCCCAGATCCCTCTGTGCTGGGCTGAGCTGGACCTGGCTGGGGTAGAGGCAGGATGCTGCTTGGATGGTTCTCTGAAAAGAAAGTCATCTCCAAGGAGGATGAAGAGGGAGGGAGGATGTGTAGTGTACACACACACACACACACACACACACACACACACCGACTCCCCGCTCCTGCCTTACTCTGGAGAGAAGCTCTCTTCTTCCTGCTCTCTGAGCTTTCTGTTGCTTCCCCGCCCATCTGTGCTGTCAGCAGCACCAGCAAAGTTGGCTTCAAACTTGAACAGAGCTGAAGACTTCATCTTCCCAGGAGCTCCGCAGGGGCAGCAGCAGGCCCCGCCTTGGGACTTACACTGGCTTCTTGAAGCCCCTCTGACCCGGTCAGCGGCCAGTCAGCCTTCTGACTGCTGGGCAGCGCTTCTGCCCCTGCCCTAGGGGCCCCTGGTCTGGACTGGGAATGGTGCACTGAGATCCTTCTGGAGCCCTTGCCCCAGCCTGGAGTGGGAGCAGCCTGAGGCCCAGCTCGACATGGCTAACCCCATACAGCCTCATTTTCCCCAGCCACAGGAGCCGGACTCCACCTTAGCACAGGACCTGCCTGAGATGGAGAAGCTCCTCACCAAGGCAGAGGGCAAGGAGGACAAAGCCCTGAACCTGTCCAAGTCCCTCTCTGGGGGGATGGACCTGGAGCAGAACGGCCACAGTCTGCCCTTCAAGGTGATCTCCGAGGTGCACCGGGAGTCCTCGGTGCTCCGCACCCCTTCCCGGGCCAGCTCACGGCGGGCGTCCTCGGTGGCCACCACTTCCTTCGCTCAGGACCAAGAAGCCCCCAAAGATTACCTCGTGCTCGCCATCGCCTCTTGTTTCTGCCCTGTGTGGCCCCTCAACCTCATCCCCCTCATCTTTTCTATCATGGTAAGTCCGACTCTTCCTTCAGGGTCCGGGGCTGGGCCCCGGTCAGCAGTCCTGTCCCCGAGCAGGCAGCAAATAGTCTGCCCCAGTGTGGAGCAGGAAAGAGAGCCGGGGCTGGGGCGGGTGGAGAAGACCCTCGCTGGCTCCCAGCGTCCCCTGTCCCCTCGGCCCGAGCACTGAGAGCTGCTGTTTCGGCCTCTTTCCTCGCTTCTCCTGGGCATTGCAGCTTGACTGTGTCTCTGTCCCTGCCGGGGAGAGGGTCTTAGGGAGCTGCCTGAGACAAATTCTGCAGGGCAGAAACAGCCAAGCTGAGAGTCTTGCTATTCCGGGGATATTGTGGGCTTTCTCAAAGAGCTATTCCTGAGCAAAGCTCAGTGTCTGCAGACCGCAGCCCTGTGTGCCCAGGAGGGCAGTCTGGTCTGCCTGGGCTACTTGATCATTTTACCAGCCTCCGCCAGCTCTGGGCCCCGGTCTGTCTGTCTCTGTTTCTCTGTCTCCTTCTGTCTCTGTCTCTATCTCTGTCTCTGTCTCTGTGTCTCTCTCTGTGTCTCTCTGTGTCTCTCTGTCTCTGTCTCTGTCTCTCTCTCTCCTGCTGTCCACTGGAAGCCTGAGGTGTGGGAGGTGGCAGGCTGCTAGGGGGATGGGGGCTTCTCCCTGAGTCTTCTGGACCTTGTAGTTACACAGATTTCATTTCACATCTATCTGTAGGGCACGGGAGGCTGGGAAATAGGTGAAGAATGCGAGACAGGACAGAGCCAGCCTTGGCAAGGAGAGGCATGTGGGCTAGACTTCACTTTAATAGATTGCTAAGCCATTCAGGCAGAGCTGCTTACAAAGGATCCTACAGAAAATGTGACTTTTGAGGTCCAGGAAAGAAGGGGGCAAGGGAGAGAGGAGGGAAAGAGATGGGCTGGGCGGTGCCTTTTAGAATGAGGTTAGGAGCAGGGGAGACCAAACTGTAGTCCCCAGGCTGATGAGGCCAGAAAACTGGGTGGGGCACCACTGTGTGCTTCCCCTGGAGCGGCACCACTGAGGAGCTGTCTGTGGCCAAGCCCCTAGGAGTTGTGGCCTCTCTGGTTCTTCTCTGAGAATCCCGGTGCTTCCTCTGGCATCTCGGCCTATTTCATTAAGACCACCCAGGGAAACTCTCCCTCCATATCTAGTACCACCTGCTAGGACATCAGGGGCATGGGCAGCTTGAGCTGGGCTCAGGAGACAGGGCTGGGGCTGCAACTTGGTGGACAGCGGGGGAGAGAGAGAGAGAGAGAGAGAGAGATTGTGAATATATGAATAGTGCATACAGAGCAGGACCTTCTGAAGAACTTCCTGTACTTCAGGACAGCTGAGGGACACAGCCAGGTCCCAGGGGTGCAGCCAGTGACTCTGAGCAGGGACAACCTCTTGGTTACAGGAAATGGTCCCAGGAGGGCAGACAGGCTTTGAGGAGGGAAATCTCACAATGGCTCAGGAGAAACCATTTTCTAGGCTGGGTAGGAGCTGCCTTTGGCAAAGAGAACTTGGGCCCAAGACTGCAAGACCCCTGAACCTACCCCTGGCATTTCTAGGACCTTTTAAGGTTTTTATATCAGGGTTGATGACTGTCATGCTGGGCACAAGGACCACAGCAGTAACCAGACACCACATCAAGTCCCAGAAGTCCCGAAGCCTGCAGTCCTGTGGGGAGAAATCCGTAAACAGGTCCTTACGACATAGTGCAAGAAGTGCCCGCGCCACACAGACCCACTGGGGATTAGACAGGCTTTCCTCCCCTCTCCTCATCCGCAAACCACGCCTGCATCCGAGGGCTGTGACAGTAAAATGAGATGGGCCCCAGTAAGTGCCCAAGAACAATACCAAGCGCATCCTAAGTGCCATTCCGTGCGATAATAGCTAAGTGGGAGCTGGGAGTCTCCCTCGTGAAAGATGGAAGCCACTGGAGGTTTTCTGGTTTTGGAATTCTGGGAATCAAACCCACAGCCTTGTGCATGCCAGGCGAGTCCTCTACCAGGGAGCCACACATTCACTTTCTGAGCCTGTCTGAGACATAACCCATATACTGTATCACTCACCAAAAATGCACATAATATGCAAAGTATGCAACTTTTAAAAAATACTATTTCACTAAGCCTGTGGTCGTGAGTTCGATCCCTGGTACTGGTAAAAATACAAAAAAAAAAAAAATACTATTTCTGTGGTACTGAGGTTCAAACCAAGGCCCTCATGCATACTAGTAATCAAGCGCTCTACTATTAAGCTAGATACCCTGCCCCTAAAAAATAATTTTATTGACATATAAAAAACATAAAAACTGCAAATATTAATGGATGCCATATTATGGTTCAATACATGCACACATGGGTAAGGTTTAAATCAGATTAAACATATCTATGTCCTCAATATTTATCAATTCCTTACGATGGAAATTTCATAATCCTGAAAGCTTTTTCAGATGTATAGCACTTAATTACTAGCTGCGGTCACCCTACTCTGCAAAAGAATTCCAGAACTTCTTGATTTTATCTCACTATAACCTGCGCCCACTGATCAGCTGCTCCCCACCCCTCTCCCCAGCCTCTGGTCGCCACCATTCCACCCTGAATTTCTATGAAATTTTTCAGGTTCCCCTTGTGAGTGAGATCCTGTGGTCCCCGTCTTTCTGTGCCTGACTTTTTTTTCCCCTCACTTAAATAATAATCTCCAGTTCCATTGGCCCTGACATAAATGACAGGATTTTCTTCTTCTTTTTAAAATGCCTGGCTTTTTAAAATTCACTGGCTTTTAATGCGCTCACAGATAGTTGTAACTTAACCGCAGTCAGTTTTAGAACATTTTCCTCCACTACAGAAGCAACCTGGAGCACCGTAGCTGTCCCTGTGCATATCTGGTCCCTCCTAGCCCTGGACAGACAGGACTCTTTCTGTCCCTACAGATTGGCCTGTTCTGGACACTGTAGAAATGCAATCCCGTGACATGTGGCCCTTTGTGCGTGGCTTCTTTCATTTAGTGTAGTGTCTTCATGCCTCCCCGCCGTGGCAGTCTACGGATGTGAGGTTTGGGAGTCAGTGGAGTGTGGCCAGGGGTCCATTTGGTGGTCAGCGTGGTAGAGGGTGAGAGGAGGGATTGAAGGAAGGAAATGATTCTGGCACTGGGTGTGAAAATATAGGCCAGAGGTGAAGCGGCTTGCACCAGGTGATAGGAAGGGGTAGAGGGGGCTCTAGAAACCTTCTAAGCGTTGGTCACAGCGACCATCCATTCTCTCTCTCTCTTTTGAGCTGACTTGAATGGCAAGCTGCCTGTTGGAGGAGTTATGAGGCAGGGCTACCTAGCCCCATATGTACGTGGATGTGTCTCTTCTGGGACTCAGGGCTTGTGCTAGCATCTGGGAAGCAGCTGGCTGAGATAGGTGGGTGGTCTGCCTGCTGTGACAGAAAGGCACTAGGGTGTCGTGGGAACTGGGCAGTGCAAGACCTGCTCTAGGAATAAAAGTTTTAGTTTAACAGTTCTTTTTAACAGTCCCAGAAAAATTTCAAGCAGAGACACGATGTGGTCAGTTCATATTTTAGGATTAATACTCAAGTGCATTGTGGGAAATCGGCTATGGTGGGGACCCGTGTCCAGGCAGGTCTGAACTCCGCACTGATTCAAAAGGAAGGGCATTGGGGGCAGAGAGGTTTGTTTCAGACTCCCGAGTCCTCAGCCTAGAAAGAGTGGGGCTCACACCTGTAATCCCGGCACTCAGGAGGCTGAGGCAGGGGCATCACTGTGAGTTCGAAGCCAGCCTGAGATACATAGTGAAATCCTGACTCAAAACAAAGCAAAACAAAACAACAACAAACAAAAGACAAAAACAGTGAGGCTATCCCAGAGGGAACTCTGGGACTTCGAACACTTAAGAGGTGTGGGGGAGGTGGACAGAAAGGGGTTTTGAAAAGGAGATTCTGGGATGTGGGAGAGAACGTGAGGAGGGAGAGTGAGTCTGAAGGAGGAGGGAATGGGAAAGCCTGTGGCGGGTCGGCTCCAAGGGGAACAGGAGCGTCTGCTAGGCTGGCCATTCGTCGGTCCCTGGTGCCCTTGGAGACAGAGAGGCCTAGCCAAAAGGAGGGCGATTGGTGGGGTGAGGGCTTTGCACAGGAGAGGCCATGAGAGCAGATGCGGGAAGGAAGAAATCCTCAGAGGAAGGGCTGCAACCATCCTCGACAGCTTCCACGCTACCGGGGATGTGGAAGGTAAGGTCATTCGCTGAGAAATGGGGGCTGGAGAGAGGGTGACCAAGGACGACAGCCCAGTGGCCAGTGGGCTGTGCTGAGACTGGAGGCCACACCCTGGGGCTGTCACCGGCCTACACAGTAACGAGCTATTCTCCAGCTATAGATGTAGGCTTGTGGCTTGGGCATGCACTGGGTCAACCCAAGGGAAGGGAGTGGCATGGTCACCATAACAACAGGACCAGATACATAGAAAATTCGGGCAGGAGTGACCAGGTGACCTGGATGGGGCAGTGGGTAAGGCCGGAAAGGTGGTGACAGCCTTGCAGAAGAGGCAGGGGTGCTGGGCACATGTTGCAGGGCACATGGGGTGAGAGAGGCACTGGGGGGTGAGATTTCAGAGGAGGGCCAGCGGGTGCGGCGGCATGCTGTGGAATACAGCTGTGGAAAGCACTGTCTGAGGGAGCCATCAGCAGCCCAGAAGAAGGAAACTGAGCGGCTCAGTGCTGAGGAGTAGTGTTACTAACATTCACTGAGTGCTTCCTGGGTGTTAGGCATGGGTCCAGGCTCTTTATGTGCATTATCTCACTTAACCCTGTTATCTCTATGAGCCCCAAGTGCTGTGTTATTTGCACTGTACCCTGAGAGGACTGAGGCCCAGAGACCGATCCTACTCCCTGTGGACGCAGGGGTCAGTTTATTCATCTGGGGTGAGGAGGAGGGGCAGAGTGTGGGCAGAGAGAAGGGGCTCCTGTGCTCCGTGTCCCAGGGTTGCACCTCAGAACTCCTCACAGCAAG